CGTGCACTTCATGTTCCATGACATGGGTGAACCATGCCCATTTTCTCTGCCAATTGATTTCTCGATCTTCTAGCTCTCGGCAATCATGGGTCCCCAGCCATCGGATCTCTAGGTTGTTTGCCTTCTCGTCTTCCTTGATGGACCGTGCATATCCTCTTAGAATGGCTTGGACCAAGCCTTCTGGATATCTTTGAGCTTGTCGCGCGCGGCTCTCACCATGGCATTGTCCAAGAACAGGTACATGTTGATGGGCTCCATCACAACGTTTCTTCAGTTGCTCGGCAATCTCCTGCCGATTGGTGACCCAGCCGGTTCTCTTCTGCATGGGTTCCCCATTTGCATCATGTAGTCCATATTGGCATTGATCACAGGTGCTCAAAATACTGTCTTCATGTTGTAGGATCTTCTGTAGGGCTCGTTCTGTCCATGCTCTTGAGGTAAGCGGCTGTTCTAGTAGGAAGGCGCCTCCGTACTCCATGATCTGTGTGATGATTTCACATGCAAAGTTCAGAAGAATTCGGGCTTCCCTCAATCGACGACGGAAGTCCTTCTTCATCACGTTCATGTTCTGCATGATGCTGAACAAAGTGCAGGGCGGTGAGATCACTGTCAAACCTGGCTTGAGTTCCCGAATGAACCTCTTTACTCTATCTCTTTCTCGTGGATCAAGAAGTTCATCTCCAAGTTCTAGGTCAAATGCTGCCGATGCAATGAGTCCTGATCGGTGGCATTGCGGAGCGAAGCGCTTCGGGTTGAAAATCTCGACAACTGTCTTTGGGGATCCCTTAATCATTCTAGCATAGTGTTGGTGGACCCGCGTGTTGGACTTGATGCGCTCTAAGTTTTTCTCTATGGCACAAAGTGGCTCATCCTCTCTCAGAAGCGTCATAATCTCCATCATGTAGTTCTCTGCCATCTTCAAGGAGGCTTCCATCGCTTTCCGATTCTTTTCCCCAAGTTCTCGCCAAGGTCCCAGGCTCATCATTTCTTGTTTCCTCCAGTTCGTTGTTTTTCTTTCTCCTTCTTCCACTTCTGGTACTCGAGGAACTCCGCGAACTCGGTCTGGTCCTTCTGCTGATCTTCTCCTGGTTCCATCGATGGGGATTCGATCTCCTTCTTGATGGATGTTATCTCTGATTCCGATTTCCTCTCCGATTTCAGAGTCTTGCCGCACTGAAGACACTTCTCCACCGTGACAAAGGCATTGGTTCCTCGCTTGGATGTACGAGTATGCTTGCATTTCTCCATGTCGATCTCCTCCAACTCCTCTGGCTCCTTCTTGTTCGTCTTCTTCTTGATGTCCTGTGGAAATGCCTTCGGTAGTGGAGCCTTTGTCATCAGTTCGGGTGGCGTGCTTGGCGTCACAGATGTTGCCCGATAGCTGGAAGGACTCTTCTCTTCGGAGGCTGTTGGTGGTGTTTGGCTGACCGGGGAAATCGATCTGTCGGCTTCTGAGATCGTCCTACTCTGTCCCGGGCGGAGTGCTCTCGGCCAAAGACTGAAGGCCTTGTTCCACCCATGAGGCTTGATCTGCTCCCACCCTTGATCCTCCATGTCGGTCACCTCGACATCGGTGTCGTCCATCGTTCCCATGTAGATTCTCTCCCCCATCAGCGACAAGGCCAATTCGGTCAGGCGGAGGATCACAAAAAGCATGCGAGCCACTAGTCTTGCCCAAATGCTGTCGTACTTGTTTTCCTCGATGCGGCTGCGCTTCATGGCAGTCGTCCGTCGGGATCACTGAGCTTGATTCAGTGCTTGGGCTTTTGGGTTCACAGCTTGAACCATGGAGGGCATCATTTCCGATTTTCAGCACCTCGAACTCGGCCGAATCGTTCCGCAACTGTTCATGTAGTTGTGTAACCGGTCAGTTTGATCCTTCGTGAATTGGTTGAGGGGAACTCGTAGTGCTCCTGTTGGACCGAGGTGGCAATCAACCCCAAACCCAAATCGTCGAAGAAACAATCGTAGTCCTTTTTGAGGATCGAGATAAAGAACCGACCGACAATGAAGTAGGAAGGGTAGTGAAATAAGAAACGGTGCCTTCTTGGATTCCCCTTCTTGAAAGATTGCTGGCCTCAAAACGCTACCTTTTGTGCCCAGACTCGTCGGGATGGATGCCAAATGTGACGTGGATGTAGTTCCATTCACCGACCGAAACCGATGTTCTTGAGGTATTCGTCCAACTCCCAGATTTTGTGGTAGTTGTCGGGCGAGACGGTAGAGCGTTTCTTCTCCGACGGCCATGCGTTGACATCCAGTGTCAATGGTTGCACATCCATCATCATGGTTAGTTCCTTCATGGTTTGATGTTGAACTTGTCTGACGACGATGCGACGAGGTCCTGCGGTGGTCACTTGGCTTATCATGATTCTCGGTTGCTCTCCCCCGCAAATTAGAATCACCCCTAACAAACAAAACCTCATGACTTACTTTCCCGATATCCCCCCCAATAGCAGCGCATTGGACCTTATATCGGGATTGAGACATGTTCATGTCTCCAGCTACATCGTGGGAGCTGGTCACCACTTCAAAAAGATCGTCTTGCGATCCACCCTCGGGCTCAGCTGGGCTTGAACTCGTTGAAGGTTTGGCCACCGACGGAGGCATCAACGGTGTTGTCACCGCATCCTTCTCAACGTCGGAAGATTCTGGCCATCCCTCAGGTCCATCATAGTTCTCCACCAAGTGACGATATTGTTCACCATTTCTCTCTCTTCTCTTTCATCTGGATCCGTGAGGAGGAACAACTTTTCGTCGTTGAAGTCCTTCATGTCCGTCTCCTCAGCTTCAGGGAGCACTTCAAGATGTCCGCAGAAATAGGCCTCTGCGGTTGAATCCTTCGGCATCGCCTCCATGTAGTAGGTCTCCTTGACGTTGGTCTTTCCTCGACCCTTGCCTTCTGGACATTCTCGATGCCAATGACCGATTTTCTTGCAGATTGCACATCTACTGTTCTGCTTCAAGTGGTCGATCATCTTCCCTTTTCCTCCTTTTCCCTTGTCTTTTCCTGAGCCTTTCCAGCCGCCGAAGCCCCTGGCGAGTTCTTTGGCTTTCTTCAGCTTCAGGCTTTGGCTGAATGTGCGTTTCTGGTACATGGTGTTCAAGATCTCCTTGACCTCATGTTCATCTAGTACCTCTTCTTCTGCGTCATTTCCATCCTCTCCCAGGTCACCGTCCTCCTCTTCATTCAACTCTTCCAGGACGGCCTCGAGAATCTCGTCCTCGTCGTGGTAGTCCAGGTTCTCATCCGCATTGAGGTGGTGCACCGAGGTAGTCGAAGAAGTCCCGGCGGTAGCTTTGCTCTTGTTTTTCATGACCTCAATGCCGACCTCCTTCGCCATCAGCTTCGTCTCGTGTTTTCGAAGCCATTCTTTCACATCCTTGGTGGCGATGCTGCCTCTTGTGAAATTCATCATATTCTTGATGTCCTGGTCACCTAGATTCAAGGCGTTGATGAGCAAGAAGCCTTTGTAAGCATCTGGGAGGACCACTTGGTGAGTGGCCACCCGTCTCATGGCCTCTTCCCACCTGTTGAAGAACACTCGATGACCTTCAGTTCGGTCTCGTCGGATGTGGTAGGTCACCTTGGCCAACGAACTCAACAGATCCTCCTCCTTGTCTTCTCCGAAGTTCTCTGGCTGATCCATCGCGGCTAACAGGCGATGCCCTCCTTGTTCATCTCGAAGCCATTCCATGTCCTTGGCCCAATGTTTGAACGTGTGGAAGGCCACTCCTGAAAGACCTTGGAGAATCAGAGGACCCTGAGAGGTCTTTCTTACTTTTGTTGTCGCCAGCCATAATCTTGCTTTGATCAACCAGTCCTGGAATGGCGTGGAGTCACCATCCCATTCAGGCGGTTTCGCCGACGAGCCACCGCCTTTCCATTCATCATCTTCCTCACCACGTCCTCGTCCGCGGTCTCGTTCTCGAGCACGGCGTCGACGTTCTTGCACGAACTCTCGAAACTCATCACTGTCAAACTCGTCAGACATCCCGGCTCCTGCCGGGGAAAACTCCTGGCCTCGCACCCGAGACCTTGCTGATCCCGCAGCCGCGGGTTCACCTTCAACTCCATCACTACCATCACTTCTTGGCACAGGAGGTGTGCCGACGTTCGCCATGGCTCTACACGCGTAACCCTGGAGCTTGGTGCTCCGCTACCACTGTGGATAGCATGGCAGAGCGGTCATTTTGCCGCAGAACACAGGGTCCTCTTGCCCAGCTTGATGTGGAACGCGAACGGTACACTTCTCGATTGTGACGTGTTTTGGTCAAAGGAGTCCGATGCCGGATTCACAATTTCTTATTTTTCTGGGGCAGCTGGGCTTGATTAATGGGGTGGGTTTCTGGCAAGGAAAAAATATCAGGGGGAGGTTGCAGGTTTTTAATGAGTTAGTATTGGAGGCTCCAGCTGGGCTTGATTAATAGGGGGGTTGGTTAATCCTCTGTTGCACGCTGGCCATCTTCCACATGTTTGTTGAATCCTCACCATTTCAACAAAAAGGTTTTCGAATCTCATGTTAAGTAGGGAAGGGCAATTATATTTTCCCTGTGAAAGCTATCGATTCCTGGAGACCAACCCATCCCAGATGCTCCATTCATGACATCTCCTTGCCTACATGTCCAGCGGTTTCAATGTCGATAAATATGTGAGTCCCATCATGCCATGGAGGCCATGCAAATCCGAGACCAACTCATTGGCTGGCGACGCCACCGGCGGCGCGCCTTTTGGCCACCGACGGCTCAGGTTATGCCTATTTCGCCCCCGGCGGTGGCTGCGTGCGGACCGACCTCAGCTCCTCCTGAGGGAAAAAAGGAGGGTTGTGGCGAATCCATTCGCTCTGCCAGGGCCGTGCCAACAGAACTACTTCGATTCTTTGTTGTCCTCCAATTGAACATGTCGGTGGTTCAGAGGGTTTTGCTTCGCTCGAAACGAACCCAGAAAGCGAGTAACGGCGCGCACGACCCACACGATGTGATCTCTGCGGCACCGGCAGGCCTATGAGAAGTTGATCCACGATGTGATTCAGGGAGACCCCTGGCCGCGCTGTGTTTTGAAGCGACCGCAACAAGAGGATCGTGATGGGCGGACCTTGCGTCCAAAGGAGGGGAATTGACAATTCATTGAACCTCAGGATGCGTGGCGAGTGAAGAACCAGCACCCACTTGATGTTCTTGTTGGATCTTGTTGGATGAATTTGTAGGATCATGTAGGATCTATAATTTGGTTCCATTCCATGTAGCCAAATCGCAAGGGCTCAGGGGTCCTCCCATTCGGTAGAAACCCACTCCTTCCTCAGGAAAGCCACAACTTCGTGCGGAAAGACGAGCTGGAACAGGTCTGGCGGCCAGGGTGAATAGCGCTCGCATGGTCGGTCCGGCCACCGCTGGGGCGCGAACGGGTCGGTGCGTCATGGTGTTTGAAACCTGCACCCGGTGAGGGACGAGTAGACACAGAGTGCGTGGGGACGGACGGAACTGGGCAGAAAGGGGAAGCCGAGGCCGCACGATTGATGTTTGTCTTCTGAAATGACGATGACTGGGATGTGTAGGGGGTCATGTTCAAAGCAGAAGGCGTATGGTAGTGGACACATGGACAGTCTTGTACTTGGCCACCAAGCTTGTAATTCCATGGTTGCAAGGGCTACAGTCAAGCCAAAGGTTAGCAACAAAGGAACATTGGAAGTGCAGAAAGTGTGTACTTGAACCGTTCTGCTCATAAGATCCTCGCAGTCCTTGGGCTTCACCACAGACGGTTGACCCATAGCCACAGGATGCCATAGGTTAAGTAGTCGGTTGAATCCTAATCCCTGCCACTTGTCCTGTGCCAGCATACCTGGAGCTACAACAATCAAGGAGAGGAAGAAAAATGTCTTGAACATAATCCTGGAAAGAAACTCAAACTACCTGCCGTTGAAGGGAGGATTTGCTCCTTTGCTTTCCAGCCACATACTGAGGCATGGCGGATCTTTGATCCATTGCTGACGACTCTTGAGGAGGAAGAGGTGACTTGTGAACTTGTTCGTTTGTTTTTTTCCCGCCCAGGCAACCGCGGCAATTGGTTAGGTGTGGAACCAGATTCCTGTGATTCCAACTAACTAGCATTAATAATGGCTTTATCGTCTTTGGCCAGAAACCATTGCTTGTACCCAGACATCCAGACTACAGAACCAGGTCGACCATTCTTTCAATCGTTTGGGAAGGCGGAGTCAGACCGAGCGTCCCTGTTCTTTTGGATATCCCACTTGGACCATGGAAACATATCCAGTTGCTATCCAGTTGTTCATTTTTGCGTCTGTATAAGACTCATTGATATCCCTGTGGATCATCCATTCAATGATCAAGGCGCATCGTGCGCGACGCAAACTTGTCGAAACACAGCAGGCAAGCAGCACGGCAAGAATATACTGCAATTGCTCACCCAGCAACAAATCATATCCTGTTAGGATGTGTCTCAGATGGTTAACGACTTCAGAGCGGCGACACTCCTCGTTACTATCACCTTTTTGCTCCTTCGTTTCGTTGGACTAGCTTCTTGTTCCTAGTAGCGTCCTTGCTCCTAGTAGCAAGGCCAGGAGCCCCTAGTAGCGTCCTTGCTCCTAGTAGCGATGCCAGGAGCCCCGTTCGTAGCGTCCTAACAAAAGGCTATCAGTTCTCCGTGTGTTGCTTTGTCACTCCCGATCCTCCGCATCGATTGTGGCAGAAGCGTGTGCCGGAGACCTATTCGCTGGGCAGCCGAGGGCCCTTGAAGGCCGGACGGTCGTTCAAACCCGAATGAGATGGACTGGGCAACTGAACATCAATCAAGTTGGCATCGCTCTCCAAATGAGGGCCAGAGATAGATTTCAACTTAAATGAGTTTGTTTGTCTTTGAAGTTTATATATATATTTTTTTTCTCAGCATTTACAGGAGAAACTGAAAAGAATGCACTATCTCTTCACCATGGAAGCCTAAATCTTTGCAGATGTGACTCATTTCTGCGGCAACATTTCTCGTTGCAGAAGTGCCAGGGCACATGCCCAACTGAAAGAAGGATGGTTTTCGTTTGTGTTTGTTTTCCGGGGCATTCAACACAAAGAGGCAAATCAATACCTTGACGCTTCAAATCAGTACAGGGCTTGCATGTGGAGTTTAGTGGGCCAGTTTGCTCACAAAGACAAGGCTGGTCATTTGTCTCGAAACGAACCACTCGTTTGGAGTCCAGTGGCATCTCCCATCGGCTAACCTCCCGAATGCTTCGAGTCTTAGAGGCTCCCCGGTTCCGCGCGCGGAGCGACACGGGTGACGATGTCTAGGCCGACATGCTGATCGATCGCATGGGCTTCAGGCGAATGGCGTCCTGAAACACATGCGGAAGCACCCGGTTGGTTTCGGTTTCGGGTGGTGATGGGTGGTGGCTGTGGATGTGGCGTTCGTGGCAGTGATGACGAGTGATGAGCAGTGATGGGAGACATTCGTTGTTTACAAATATCTGCCCAAAAGATCTAACGGACAGCTCCGGATTTTTGATGATCTCCCTGCATCGTTCCCAGTCCATGCTCGGACCACGGAGGTGCTCGAACCAGAACCACCGTGGGTTAGACCAGGGTTTTGATGTTTGTGTATTGAACTCTGGAGACCAGGTACTGATAGTATGGGTAGACACCTTCTGGACACCCTGAACCCCAAGGTCAAGGATACATCGAATCCGATGAATTTTGAACGCCAAAAACGGTCGTATGTTTGTGTCTTTTGTTGCGTCTTCCTCGTCGGACCCGGTCTTCTGGAGGCGCTACACCGTCACCGGTGTTCCGGGCTTCGCGGAGGACGACTTCGATTGAGGACGAAGGGTTGTCGTGCTTCGTGGGCGGACGTAACGGCAAGTCACGGCGGGTCTTTGGTCCAGGCGGGTTTGGAGCTCCATGGGGCGGAGCGCGATTCTGAAAAGATGTTTTAATCACATTTCCCAGACACCAGACACTCCCCTATATGGTCAGATTATATATGCCTAAGTATATGCCTACATTATCCTACTTTGACCCCTGAAACCATCCCAATGTAGGTGTATATTCCATGCATGGAGTCATGCATGGAGTGTTTGGGACACATTACAGAAATATAGTGTGTGTGTGTTTGGGTGTAGACATGAACAGAGGTGATGCTGAAGGCTTGGAGAACATGAACGGTGTGTCAAACGGAGTTTTAATAATAGCCAAACTGTCAATTGAGTTTCATGGTAGGCTCTTTCAGGTGATAATGGTATGTCAAAATATGTTAAAGCAACCAAATAATGCTGCTTTGCAGTAGTTGAAGACTTCAATGGCTGTGGAGAGGGCTCATGTTGGAGCAGCTTCATGGAAGCAGAATCCAGAATCCACATTTATTTACTGAACTCAAAGTGGATTGGAAGATGTAAACCGATATCATGTTCATGCATCACCACACCAAGACGGCATCCCTGATGTTTATAGCTGCTTATTACTATGTGTTCTGAAGTTGCAGCTCTCAGACCTTCAGGAGTGTTGAACATGCGGATCTCATCCACCGAGATCTCCAAGAAAAACCAGGTCAGGATCTCAGAAGACAAGCTCCAAGGTGTCTTAACCTGCCCGAACCTGTGGCGGGCCTTGCTTTCTTTCACCGGTGGGTTTGGTGTGCCTCATTTTAGCCCGATGAGAATTGTTGCTCGAGAATACAACTGTGTGAAGATCACCACAGTTCTTTTGGTGAATTTTAGAAGGGCCAGCTTGCCCACGGCATTCATTTTCCCAATGACATAACGACATGGGGTGGTTGGGGATATCTATATAGAACCCAAATTGAATCCGTTTTGGGGAGAGACAGAATCCAGTGTCCTTCCCTGTCTTTGCACGGCTGGTTTACGCCTGAGGCGCTTGAAACGCGACCGACGAAAGCGAGGAGGCGAAGATGGTGGGAGTCGGTGGGACTTGGGGCCAAATTGAACGGAAGCATTTGATTCACCTGGTTGAAAGCTGATTTCTGCTGGTGGATAAAACTGAGTTTGCTTACTGATTGGACATGATATAAAGGACAAAACAACCGATGAATCTGTATGATATTAACACCAAACAGATGGACACGCATAGTCCCGCATAGTTTGTGGGAAATGAACATGTCCCCTGAATCCTTACAGATGGAGTGTCCAGATCGAAATGCCTTGAGTCACGTGGCCAAGGACGTCGGAGCTCGGAGCTGTCCATCCTCACGCCTTCGGAGCTTCCGGGCCGTGACCGGAGGGTGCCGTGACCGGAGGGCCGGCGAAACAAAGGACGTGTGCGAACGGAGTCGTCGGAGACGGACAGGTGTTTTCAAGGAGGACGGAGGCATTGCATGAGTGTTGTTTCCTTGTGTTGATCAAGATGTTGGTCTGGACTGGGTGGAGGCTCTGCAAACCTACAGACTAACTACAGACTATAAATCTCACAGGTTTTGTGCCAGCTGCCAGTGGGTTGTTATTGATCCAGCCAATTGCAAGTCACTTAATCAAATTCCGCTGTTCACCTTGGTTCACCTGGATGCCTCCTGGACACCTCCCAATCGTGGCGAGTTGGTGCTGAAAGCCCGATCCGACACATCACCCAGCCAAGGGGCGAGCCATGCACGATAAAATGCCCATAAAATTTAAAGGGTACATATATATATACTGTATATATATATATATTGAAACCAGTAGATAGAAACCATTCAAAGTCAAATATATTGAAACCAGTATAGATAGATGATAGATGTAAGAATATCAAGCGGTTGAAGCACCATGTTTGCAATCGCAAGTGTTCAATCGTAGCCCTTTGGCCGAGGATACCAAGCACAGCTGGTGTTGCAAGAAGACATGTTGGACCCAGCAATCGCAAGAACGACATGACATTGCAGGATCCACGGGAGAAGAGCAGACCATGTTGACTTGGACAGATGAACAAACATCAACATCAACTAACATCAACTCAGAGACTCGGACAGATGCTCAGTAACATGCTATGTAGAAAAAACAAACATGCAGTTGGTCAATATCCTTTGCTTTAATGATCCAGTGCTTGTTGCAGCTTATGAAAACTTGCGCCAGACTACTACTATTGGAGGAAGGTGTTCTTGTTCTCCTCCACCGCCCTGGACGATAAGTCTAACTCCTGAAAAAAGGTACAAAACACATCAAGACACTACTTGACTACTAGCCCTCACAACACTGTACAGTTGATTTCCAGTGGAGGTTGAGAAGCATTGACTTCCCCTATCTTAGAGTTCTTCAAAAATATCCACTTATCTCCTGAATGGCCGGCAGTTCTGCCGCCCGAGCGGCCGCCGCCTGGGCGGAGAAGCGGAAGGCACAGGTGTGGCCCTTGGGACACCCCAGCACGTGCATCTGCCCTACAAAGGGCGCAATGTGCGCAGCCAAATCACCAAATTGAACGTGAAAAATATCCAGAGTTCGTCACTTTGGCGCCCAAAGGTACTTCCTGGTATATCCTCTAGTTAATATCCTCGGATTCATTGATCCCCAAGTACTGGGACCCTCCAACAACACGCCGGTTGAGACCTTTAGTTGACTCTAACATTGATGCCGCTGGTGATCTTCATTTTGAGTGTACCCAGCCTGCAAAACGTATCAGGTGGATTGGTTACACAGTTTGACATTTGGATTTAGATCCCACCCTTGCCATCTCCACCCAAGTTGATTTTGTTGTTTCGTTTGAACAAGCTACTAAACCAGCCGAAGCAAAGCTGCAGGTGGAAGCTGCCAATGCGAAGAAGGCACAGACGCTTCGCGGCACTGGACCCACAGGATTGTGGCCTTCTCCTCCATCACCCCGATCACCCAATCTTTATCATAGAAAATCATAGATATCACTTTTAATTCACAAAATTACAACATATAATGTATTTGTGTTAGGCCGTTGATCTGTTTTTTTGCATTGAATATATTGGAAACTCATTTGCTTGTCTTTTTAGAATCACCTTTCCCCAAGTTGTTTGAAAACCCCTTCTTGGTCCAGACACATCCACTCCCAAAAAAGCACACCGCAGTCTTTCCACTGTTCTGCTCAGGAAAGAGATGGGTGAAGTGACTTCGGATCACACCTTTAAGCCAAAGCTGAGGAGTCATTTGTGGTTCATCTCCGGTGACGGGATCTCGCGCGGGGTGGGCTTTGGATGTGTCATTGTACCATCAATACTAGGTTGGAGGCCAGTGCTATTTAGTTGGAGACCATCCATTGCTATTAGGTCGGAGGCCATTGCTAGTAGGCTGGAGGCCGTTGCTACTAGGCTGGAGGCCATTGCTAATAAGTTGGAGGTCATCGCTATTAGGTTGGAGGCCATTGCTATTAGGTTGGAGGCCATTGCTATTAAGTTGGAGGCCATTGCTATTAGGTTGGAGGTCATTGCTATTAGGTTGGAGGCCATTGCTAGTAGGCTGGAGGCCATTGCTATTAGGTTGGAGGCCATTGCTATTAAGTTGGAGGCCATTGCTATTAGGTTGGAGGTCATTGCTATTAGGTTGGAGGCCATTGCTAGTAGGCTGGAGGCCATTGCTATTAGGTTGGAGG